AAAATGCAGGAAGAACCAATTCTGAAGACCTTAACAGGCTTACAAAACACAGATTGTCTGAAAATGTCAATAATTCAAAGCCTCTTAGGCTCTTTCAACCTTGTGTGTCTTCCAAGTGAGCATCCCTGAATCTGAGACTTCAGCAATGTAGAATTCTCAACTTTTAAGTTCTTGTACAAGGAAGCCCTCCACATCAGTGCCTTCACTGGTCACCAGACAATGATAAAGATCTATCTGGACAAACACCTGAAGTTGGGACAATGTTTTCAGGTGCAGAGGAGCAACTTAATGTGAGTGTAGCAACTATACACAATGTGCTCTCTGTTCCTGTCTAGCCTTCAGACTTAGCAAAGGTTCAAGTCTAGGGTTTTAATGTAGAACATAAAATTTCAGGCTTTTAGATCGTGGTTTACATTCCTGCTGTTTCTGACTTAGCCAGAGACACTGCATTAGAAATAGCCTGAGTATAAATAACTCTTTGACTCCGGTTCAGTCATTGTAAGTCTAGAAAGGTTGTATTTATAAAAACAGGTTTAACATCAACTCAGAGGCATTTCCTTTCCTGGCACTTCTATAGAACTCAACATACTGAATTGATAGCACTTGCAAAGATAATACAAAGCCTTCACCCTCTCCTTTATACCACAAGGTACCATTGCCATAACACTACACCTTATGTGGATTGAACCACTAAGAGAAAAGGGGGCATAACAGCTACAAGTGAAATGTAATGATGGAAAAGGCTAACAAACATAAATGCCATAGGTGGAAGTATAAAAGTGGAATGAATGCAACCACTACATTATAACTGACCTAAAACAAATATGCATTGAATTGGAATGGAGCCACTCTCAACGTTCACTTAATTCCCCTTCAGATTTAATAAGAAAGAATTTTTAAAGAAAATCCGATTCTCTAGGTAAATTACTTGAAATATGTGGATGATGTCTAAAGAATTCAGCTAAATGGGATGTTTTGATTATTCCCTGTTTCTATTTTAGACCTCTGCCAGACAGAAAACAATGCCCTAAAAGTGGTTCCTATACATAGGAAATAAAACTTCTCAAAATCTGCATTTTTTAGGGCGAAGTGACCAACATGCACCAAACTAGTGTGAAGTACACACCTTGGACTTGCAGCATTAGCTGCATTTCTGAAGGAAAAGTCTCCTGGAAAAGGCAGCTTCAAAATCTGGGCAGAGCTCCATAGGGGATATGCTGAGTTAAGGCATGTTTGATTTGCTTTTTCTGTTAGCAGCCAGATTTTCAGCACACATCCAATCTCCCTGAATAAAAACAGAATCTGTTGGTCCTTGTAAACTTCTGAAAATCTGTATCTATAAAGGAGAATACTGTTCAGTGGTGTGACTATTGCTACTGGCATTTTCTTCAGAGGAAACACATTCAGAGACTGACCTGAAATTGAAGAGAAATACTCTTCAATTACTTTATCAAAGTTTTTAAACATTTAGACTAACTGCTATAGATGATACAAAAAATGTCCAAATAGTAAAAAATTATTAAGGACCTGTCAATTCTATAAGTGTGTCTGAACTGTCTGCCAAGATAGGCTTATTTAAACAGCATCTGTTGTAGTGCATGTGAAACCATGCAGGGAACACAGATATTCAGAGAACACAGGTTAGTTGAACGTACCCTAGAAAGCAGCAATTCTGAAGTGACTGAACAACCACAGGACACGAGCATTGGCAGTGTATCCTTATCATTATTTTCTGGAGGAGACTGAAGGCAATAAATCACTGAGTGCATAGCAGAACTATTAGAAGTAGCAACTCAAGATTTCTTACGCCAAAAGTTTTTGAACCTCAAAAAAGTCTCAATTTAGGTTACATCTGTTGTTGTTACCATCATTTGCAATCTTTAAGTTTTTAAATTTTAATTAGGGAAGGCAAGATATGAATGTTTACTGAAGTGTCTGCAGTATGTTTGAAATTTATTGGACCTTCAAGTAATTTAGCTAAGCTTTCAGACGAAACCCTTTCTCAGTCTCACAGAGTGGTGGACAAATGCTTGGGTCCAATACTGTTGCATATATTAGTGCTAATAGGTTTAGATAAAATTATAGATACTGATTTTTTTTTTCCTAAGTGTAGAATGTTACTAGACAGATACAGAATTTCTCATAGCTAAATAGATTCATACTGATCTAGGCATGGCGTCTAGAAATACAACTATCCATCTGCTGTTATAAAGGAGGAATGTCAGCCAGACTTCAGACTGAAAAAAATGCCTTTCAGTATGAATACAACCACTTTGAACAAGCTGCTTTTACAGAATCATCCCAACACACATTTTAAACCAAACTTCTTTATCCAAATGTAAAATCTAAATCCATTGTCCCGATTGCACTGCAGTTTCTAGATCAAGCCTTGAAGCTGATATGATTTGAGCTAGGATTTGGCCCATTGTGTACATACATGAAATGGCACCACTGCTTTCAGAGGCACAGAGAAAAGAGAGGCTTAAAAGCTGGAGTCCATCCTCTCGTATCTTTCACAAATGCACACATGGGCACAGGCCCACTTGCTTTTTTTGCAGCATTGCTAATTGGGAGTTTTCTTTAACTTCTCTCACATCCAGAAACAAGCTGTAGTTTCATAATTACTATCAAAATTGGAGCATGGGCTATTCAAAATCAACTATCAGCTGTGAGACAGGAGGAATAAAACGGAGGAAGAACAGCAGGGTAGCAACCGGGCTCAAGAAATTAAAAATAACAAGCAAATCTAAGTCTCATCCTGACAAGTGAGGCCCTCTGCCTCTCCGTCATCCCTTTTATCATGCAGATGACTGCCCAGTAGCTCTTGGCATGTAATAATGCAACCCCTCTTGACCAACAAATTTCTGTAGTAGCTGACAACAGTTTGCACAGCTTTTAGACAAAAATGACAGAAAAATCATATTTCACAAACCTATTTAAGAACTCCATGTCTTAAATATTTTCTTGTTTCATTTTACAGGTTTTTTGTTTTTGTTTTGTTTTTTTTTTAATTAGGATGAAGCCTAGTTACTTTTCACCAGGAGACAGAGTGCTAACCATACCAGATCTAGAAGGCTGGAAAAGAAACAGGTGGGAAAAATTATAATAAGTACTCATATTTACATTTGCTATAAAGAACCCTTCATGTTGGAGGAAGCTAGATAATACATGGGATGCCATCTGGTTTGCCCAGAGATGGGGCAATGAGATTTGCAGATTACAGCTGTCCTTGACAGCCACTGTCACCCAGTTAACCTAGTACTTGAACAGAATCAGCCCATGGAGAAAGAACAGCAGAGACAAAGCAAGAAAATGCTTTAGCTGGCAGGCCCACGAAGCAGTAACCCCGGCAACCACAACTGCAGGTTCAGCTGGGAGGTTGGGTGTACTCCTTGATTCCCTGTTTTTGCTAAACTTTCACAGCAGCATCTATGAATAACGCTTTCAGCTACCTCCTGCTAGGTACAAGACTGTCTCACGGTGTTGAACAGAGCAGTACTCACAAATGCGTGTACTCAGCATGATGCCTCCAGCTTGTAAAAAATGGGCAGGACATCCCTGTGGTGAAACAAGTCACAGTGAGCAAATGTGTCTTCCTCTTTGAGTGTCAGGCAGAGACTCCTCTCAGATACACTCAGCTGTCCAAAAGCTAGTTGTCTGGTCTACCCTAGTCATGCAAGTTTATTGATTTTCTAATAGATGGAAAGAGATGCTCATAAGAGCAATTCGGTGTAGAGTTGTACAGATAACTGGAGAGGAGAAGGTGGGACATATCCTGGAATTGCCCCTTTCCCCTGAAGGAGTGCCAATGACTACACCCCTAGCACTTACACAGAAAACACTGGGGAACTCAAGATCCCATTTCTTGTAGAGCAGAATCAAGCTAAGGTTCTCAATTCTTGTTTTCAGTGGTGAATGACCACGCTCAGCATATACAGACCATGAAGAACTCCAGATACAGAGAGGGAAGGTGCTCCATGGGTTCAGGGACAATTTCTAACACAGTAATAAGTAGAAGAGTGTGAAAGAGAGGAAGTTTTTTTCTTGGAGACTCTGAGGCTGGGTAGCAATTCCCATTAGCAACAAGCATCACAGCATCACTGCCTTTTAGAGTAAAACATGTTTCTGACCTCGCCTGTCCTGAAGGAAGTACACAGTAGTGCATATCTTAAAATAAATTTTAAAAATGGCAAAGAAGCTTACTGAATAAATCACACAAACTCTGAACTAAATCTCCCTCAAACATGGTTCTCCCTTGTGAACAGCATGCAGCAGAGCACATGAAGCACACAAGACAAATGTTATTCATATCACTTGGAGCACTTCTAGAAGGCTCTCAAATATTAAAATAGCTTGTAAAGGAAGAGATCACTGAGATTAACTCTACCTTTCCTTTTGGGTCACCTTTACTTAAAAAAGCCTTGCACTGTTTGGATCCTGACTGACCTATGTCTGATTAAAACGGCAGACCTTTATGGAGACATCTTGGCACTCACATAATATAAGGGAATATAAGTACCAGCCATTTTAGGTTCTGCTATTCTTGATATTCTAATGAAGTTTGCTCATCATTTTTACACCTGAAGCACAAGACTGACAGCATAATGTATAACCAGCTACAGTTAAAAACAACATGATGAAAAAATAAATTAAAAGACAACCCCTACACATGGCATGTAATTTTTTTCCCACGAAATACAGAAACACTTTCTGGTGTCTTAGCAGTCACACTCCACACTAGCATGTTGCTGGTTTTAGTAGTATGAATGCTGCCCATCAAACAAAATCACAGAAAACACAATAGTTGAAATGAATTATATGCAACACATTTTAAGGTATTCATCATCTTTTCAGAAAAAAAAACCCACCATATATTTGGGTATAGGAATGCTTCAGCACTGTATTTGGAAATAAGTTTTCATAATAATTTACACTTACAGCAGACGAGTGATATCAAATATCCTCTGTGCTATTTAATATGACTTCCATATTTTACTTACCAATCCTGCACAGCATTGAAAGATTCTTCATTCGTGATGTCATACATTAAAATGAAGCCCATTGCACCCCGGTAGTAAGCTGTGGTAATTGTTCTGTATCTCTCCTGACCTGCTGTGTCCTGAAACAATAACAAACAAAATCTTTACATGTTGCAAATAAATTGACAAATGATACCTTTTTTTTTTTTTTGTTAGGTGTTTTTTTTTTTTTTGTTAATGGAAAGAAAACTCTGACAACAGTTGTACAACTCTGCAATCCTACTCATAAAACTAATTAAAGGGGAGAAATTGAGAATAACAGGAAAAAGGAAAATTCTGCATTGGATCATAATAGGAGGGGCACATCCATTCTGTCATAAAGTGAGAGCGGAGGGAGGCAGAAAGGCACGTCCCTCTGTCAGGTCATATATCCCGAGTCATTCACTGATTCACATCATTCAACCTGAGAGTTGGGTAAGAACCTTCTCTCTTGATCCTGCCTTGTATCTTCCAAGTTTGACAGAGGGGACAGGTAAAATTTCATGTCCTGAATAAAATGCTGGGACAAAATAGCATCTTTAAAATCTAAATTATAAGATCAGGATGGTTCCTGAAGTCTTGAAACATCCTGACCAAAAAAGGCAATGTCTAATTGTCCTTGTGCTTATAAGCCATTTCTACTCATGTCAACTTCAGCATCAATATAGATCTGTTCTGACAAAATAGAAGCTGGAAGTCAGTGCTTTTAAAACAAGGATGCTATCTGACAAAAAAAAAAAAAAAAAAAAAGTTTGGTAACAGTCTCTTACATCAAACCAGTTTTCTTCCTCATTCTCTGTATCTCATTGAATTGCCTTTAAGGTAATAAATGTAAGTCTTCCATTCTCCTACTGCTTGCTTTACTTACTTCCATTAAAAAATGTTCAGGGCAGGTACTACTTGTTACTACATTTATATCCAATGCCTAGCATAACCACTCGTGTCAATGTTAACACTGTGAGACAACAGCAGTAACTAAAATACAGGAAGTGCATAATTATTTCCTGGTAAATCAGGAATTTAATGTTTTTAAACCATAAACATTAAAATATTTAGATGAAACATACATAACATTTCAGTGCAGTCCTGTAGCTAACAGATAGATTATCTGCACTTATTCAATTTTAACAAACTTTGAAACTTAATTTAATTATTTCAGATTTTTTGAGTGGGTAAGAAATATCTTACTTTACGATATAGACAAATTTATTTAATTTGTCTTCCTACAGAAAGAGAAGTATAACAAGTGATAAAAAATGCTTTATTTGGTATATTTTCTGAAACGGTTCCTGGGCTAGAAAATGGATTAAGTGGACTCCTTCTTTACACATATATTATTAATCTCATAAATTAATAAAGTAAAAAGAGTAGATTCTACATACATTGCAAACTACTTATAGAATAAGAAACATAACCAAGACAGTTGCTGAAACAAAACAAGGTCTTAGATAAAACATACAGATTCTGTTCATTTTGGATTACAGCTGCTACTGCTTTGATGTAGTTTCAGTGATCCAAGACAGAAAGCTAATGTATAAGTTAGACCCTGGCAGGTCTCACAGGAGGTTAGGTTCTGTCTTTGCGGGAAAGGCCAGACAGACCTTAACTTTTTCTGCTTATACTCTGAGCTGGCTAAGCTGATACCAACTATGGTCTGGAGGTTGGATAGCTGCATTAACAGAACTGCTCCCAAATTTTCTGGTGGTATTACTGAATAGTAAAGTATTCAGACTCTTGCACCCAGCCTGTGCATATTCCAATACTCAGAGATCAGTTCTTTTTCAGTGGGTCATAGTCTGTCAATAAGACAAAAGTATAATTGAAATTTTGAGTAAAATAATTTATTAGCAGAAAAAATATCACCTGACCATTATTTAAAACTGTTTCTTTGTATTTCTTTTATGGAATAAGGTTTACGCTCCCATGTTTTGTTGGCTTCATTTATTTGATTTGATATTAGAGAAAAGAGCTGGAAGGAACAGAAGGAAAATATGGCCTGTAGCAAGCACACAGTCTTTCTGTATGGAAGAGATACAATTTTCAAATCAGTTTTGTCAGTGTCTATATGCTTTTTTGTCAGTCAGAGACTTGTATGGTTGGAAATACGATTGTATGACAAGCAGGATCCCACCACTACTGAAGCAAATCTTATTTTGCTGTGAGTGATTTCCACTGAAGTCTGTCTGCAGATAAGGGTGAACTGCTCTAGGAATAAAGCCGCAAGTCAGTGAGTCTTCCTATCTAAGACACCAACTATTTTCTGCATGGTGTTAAAGGTAGCTAGTGCTAGCTCAGGCACTCTTGATTACAGAGAATAAAAAATTAGTGTAAAGGAAGACAAATCAAGATTAAAGTTCTTAAATCATTTTACGCAATGGGAAATGAAGCTGCAGATGACGTTCCAAACACCGATGAACTTTGGGAGAGGAGATGCTCTTCTGGATGTAGGAATTTGGTTTGGGTCAGTCTGGGAAGGAACCAGGTATTTGGGGTTGTTCTCAATACAGGCATCTAATATGTGCCTGTAGTTAATGCTTTGTTAATGTGCTGAAAAGATGATTTTCTAAACTGATATTTCAGTCTATAACATAGATGGATGACCATGAATCAAATGGAGGTTATTAGTTTCAAACATGGATAACTACATTCCTGTTGGTATTATTTTCTATTCACTTGTTATAAGGAAGCCACTAAAATTTTAACTGGTCTGATGTACAGATTATGCACTAGAATGTTTAGAATGTAAGAAATGAACTCAAATATCAGTAATCGATGTTGTCAAAACTTTTATGTTCCACACATTCATAAACATCTCCTCTGTATTCTGACTGAAACATTCACAAATGACCTAAAGACAGCTCCTTTTGTAGGACTCTTAAGGAACTCAAATACCATTTGTCAGGGGAATAACACATTAGAAACATCAAATACTTTAATATTAAATATTATTAATTTATTTGAAGCAGATAATGCAACAATGTAAATGGACTTTCTCTCTGTTTATTAGCTTTTATTCTTATGGACAAAGTGATCAGAAAAGAACTAATTTCCATATTTCATCATATCTATATCTATAAATCCCCATGATTTTATTCTCAGGTACTGTTTTGTACTTGTACTTGAAGAAAACATTTTCCAGTTCAGGTATGGTTACTGACTGCTGCTATGTTATGTCTTTTTTTCAAGACTGTGGAATTAATCTGAAGACGACCTTTTGGTTTTAATTTCTGAAACATAACATCTGTATTTTTGCACTGACTTATGTTTATTTCTAAGCAAACTTAATAAAATAAGCCTGAGGAAGAATAAAATCTGACCTATTATTGACTGGCATTTTAAGCAAGGCAGTTGATTTTGATCTTTGATGGGCAGAAAACAAGACACATAGATCATCTTGGGGGCCTTTTCATTCATGTAATGTCTGGTAATGACAACTGACTGTTCATTAAAGAAGTAGAGTGGAAAAGCAGAAGGGAATGAATGACAGTGAGGGAATGCTTTATGAAATGTTCTGTGCACAGAAGACAAAAAGAGGTATTTTACAGATCTTAGGAAAAACAAAACAAAAACGGTCTTAGCAGCTGGAAGAAATATTTTTAAATACTATATTCACTTTCGTAAATTCTGTTTTTAATAAAGTTCCCACAATTCCATTAGCTTCTGGTTAGGTGATCCTAGCTGAGTGAATCTTTCTAGATAGGCAACAGATTTTAGATATTAAATCACAGAATTATAAGGTTTAATGGACATAGTACCTTAGAAACTAACCAATTTCCAAGCATTGCATACAGCACGCTGGCTAATAGCCCATGGTCATAAGTATTTGGAAGACTCTGAGACTTGCACAGAATTGCCTTGTGTACTCTGATGTTTCTAATAAGTTTTGTTGATTTTTTTCCTTAATTTTTTCACCTATAATTGAAACTTGATATTTGCAAACAGTTTTATGATCCAGATCCTGATACATATAATTTGATTTTACAAAAATTCATTGCTTTTTGACAGAAATTCAATACCTGAAAGGACCAGTAAAGCCTTTCCATCACTAAGGATCTCACACAGGGCATGTAAATCTATAGCCAGTGAAAGACAAATGGTAGAGGTGTAGACTGAGAACAAAATATCTGTTTCCGGCTCAGGGTGAAGATAGCAATCTGATATGTAGTTGGCCAATTCTCCTCTATCATATATGTATCAAATGGTATGGAGACAGCTAATTCTAAATTAACTTGGATGTTCATTTGAGTTGAACTTAAAGCTGTGAATTTGACAGTACAATAAAGCTTAAAGTGAAGATATGTTAGCTAATTTTACAGTAACCAGATGAACCAGGTTTTGTCCTGTACCTCTTCCTTGAAACAACCCTTTAGTAATGCTATGGGAAATTTACTACAGTTTCTCATTATTACTGTGTAACTGCCATATCACTGAAGGCCTTAGCGTATGGGGAGAGCACCAGCTGCTGACAACAATGCTCCCAGGGGAATGGGGAGAGATAACGTAACAGCCATCTGTGCAAGTAGAAACACTTTGGAATAGCAAGCTAGTTGACTCAAGAACTTGTATTCCACATGAAGTTAAGAGATTATAGGACTGGAAAGTCTCAAATATAAAACAGAGAAACCAAGGTTCTGATAGTAATCTTGAAAATAATAACTATTCAGGCTTGCAAAGTACACTTATCTGAGTTAGCAGAAGTAAATCCTCCCCTACTGTCAAGTCCTGCTAAACTAGACTTCATCCAGAATGTGTCATATCAGCTTAGACTATACCAATGTTTTTGCGCAATATGCTAAATCAGACCTTTGAATTAATTTGGTGATTGTCTGTTCTCCCTACCACCCTTGCCTAGCACTGTACCACAGACAGGAAGAACACTTCATGTAAATAACTTCCAACTGGAGATGCTCATTATTAATGCATTATTAATGCAGTTTTGAAGGTGAAAGTAAACAGCAAAAACTGTTTAACAGCAAGAATTTCTAATGAGACTGTCACGAAGGAATTCAGCGTGCAAAACAGAAACTTATTTTGTAGCACACTTGAGAGGCTCCATGCCTCTGCATTTTTGTCCTATATGCTAAATATGCAAACATTTTTT